TTGGAGGGATGCGCCTGTCGTGGTCTAGAGGTAAGGTGTTCGCCTTTCTTTCAATAGTTCCCGGGTTTGAACCCTGACAGCAAAGACAAATTTTCTTCTCTGAAATGTTCTCCTTTTACTTCCTTTCTCGTTCTTTAGTCATATGATGTCATTGTCATCTGCTGTCACCTTCCACGTTCTGCCAAGTAGAGCTGTAGGATGCATAATATACTGCTTTTCATTCTGTGTCAAGACGCAAAAGACCACTGCGTTTTGGAGAAATCATTTTTGGTTATGTCCCTTTTGGAGATGCCATTCTTGGTCGTGTCCCTTTTGGGGATATAATTCTTTGGTGATATTATCATTTTGGTTACGTCCCTTTTGGAAATACCATTGTAGGTTTTGTATTTTTTAGAGATATCATTTTTGGTTATTTTGTCCCTTTTGGGGATATCATTCTTGGTTACGTCCCTTTTGGAAATACCATTGTAAAGACTTCAACAAAAGTTAAGGACCACTTGCAAAACACTCTTGTCTTTCGACCTGCATGTGAGCGCTCTTGGATTGATCAGAGACCCATCTCCGGATTGATCCAGTGGCTTGATATGGCGCTGCCTCAGGCGGACAATGACAAAGTGTGACACTGCAAGCCCTCTGGAAACTTCTCGGGCTCCAACTTCATCCTGCAACCATGCTATAGCTCTGGCACAATCAAAGTCTCTCAGCTTTCGTCTTGGTGGCATGTTGATGCGATACTGGATTTTGAGCAAACGGCGGCTTATATTGCCACCAAAGTGAGCACAGTTCGAGACCGTACGTCCGTTTATGACGTGCACTAGACATTTTAACTGAAGAATGTCCGTGGTGTCGGACACAAGTTGATAAAAAACAGAAAAAATGGCTAAAATTCCCCGAAGATTTCCGTGCAGCACGTGGTGGTTATGTCCCTTTAGGAAGCTTTGCCGAACGCATTTGTAACCCATTAACACTTTCAGAGCAAAAAATTTTGAAACATTCCTTGCTATCTTTTTTTCCGGATTTTAAAAAAATCAAGGCTGTCTGTCAATGTGGTTCTTAGCTTTTGTTGAAATCTGTAGGTTTTGTATCTTTTTGAGATATCATTTTTTGTTATAATGTCCCTTTTGGAGATATCATTATAGGTAATTTTGTGTCTGGCAAAAGCTGTGGACTTTCACCAGAACTTCTTTCCCTTAAAAACTGCATTTGTTGTCCCCATCTATCTTACTTTATATCTGTACTAAATGGTTATTATTGTGTCTGTCTATCTATCTATCTATCTATCTATCTATCTATCTATCTATCTATCTATCTATCTGTCTATCTATCTATCTATCTGACCATTACGCTGCACGTCTGAAGTCTGTCTTGATGCCACTTTTGGCAAATTTTCCTCACTTCACCTGGGTATGAAGTGGTACCCAGCCATAGGCAACAAAAGTTCTTGTCAGTATGTTAGTGTTGAAATAATAATAATAATAATAATAATAATAATAATAATAATAATAATAATAATAATAATAATAATAATAATAATAATAATAATAACAATAATAATAATAATAATAATAACAACAACAATAATAATAATAATAATAATAATAATAATAATAATAATAATAATAATAATAATAATAATAATAATAATGATAATAATAATAATAAAGGGGGCCTAATAATGATAATAAATGGTAATATATATTATATATATATATATATATATATATATATATATATATATATATATATATATATATATATATATATATATATATATATATATAAATAAATAATGGATTGCATTTATATAGCGCATATCCACTTATGCAATGCTCTATTCGCTTAACATGATACATATTATTGATTTACAAATCAATTTTAAAGGTACATAGTGTTACATACTAATGCAAACACATATTCACTCACGCACGCACCACACACACATACATGCACACATACACACATACACACATACGTACATAATATGCACATACGCACATACAAACTCACAACGATCTACAGCTTGGACGCATTCTGTCTAATCGAAATATGATGAAAATAGAAATTATTTTAGTTTCTTCTTAAAAATTTCTAGATTTTCTGCTTCTCTGATAGTTTTTGGAGGCCTATTCCAAACAAGTGGGGCAAAATATGAAAAAGAGCGTTGGCCATATGATTTGTAATTTATTTTAGGCTTAACAAGGGTTGTTTTGTCACTTGATGATCTGAGCGTTCTAGGAGGCACATAGGGTGTTAAAAGCTGTTTTAGATAGTCCGGTGATAAACCATTTAAGCACTTGTAGCAAGTTAAACAGATTTTATATATGATACGCTCTTTCACTGGGAGCCAGTGTAATGCTTTTAAAATAGGAGTCAGATGATCATGCTTTAGTTTTTTAGTAATTATTTTGGCAGCAATATTTTGTACTCTTTGTAGTTGTTGTAACTGTTCATCAGGTACACCAGCCAGTAAGGAATTGCAATAATCAATCCTTGACAATATAAGTGATGTTATTAAAGTTTTGGTGACACCAACAGATAGATATTTTCTAATGCTCCCTATTTTCTTCAGCTGGAGATATAGATTTTTACAAAGATTGGATACATGGTATTTCATTGACATATCTTGACCTAGCACCACACCTAAATTTCTTACTTTAGTTTGGGCTGATATTTCGTAGCCATTTATGTTTATTCTGATATTGTCGATTTCATTGCATGCGCTACTACGAAGAAATATTATTTCGGTCTTATCCTCATTTAATTTTAATTTGTTCTTGAACATCCATTTTCTTATATCATTGATACATCTGGCGATTCTATCTATGAGATTGTGTACATTGTCAGTTGTAGTGAATCCATACAGCTGTGTATCGTCTGCATTCATAAAGATGGTAATTGGGGGCATATAAAGAACGATTGTAAAGATGACAGGACCAAGGACCGAACCCTGAGGAACTCCGTACTTTAGAGGTAACCTATCTGACACATCATTGCCAATATATATATATATACAGTCGAACCTGCCCTGACGGTCACCTCTATAAGACGGCCACCTGTACAAACGGCCACTTTCAATTTCCCCCCTTGCGTTTTTTCTATATAATTTAACTGTGTAAAACGGGCACCTGTCCAACGCGGCCGCGGCCACAATAATTTAACACACAACCCCTATAATACTAAGCAGTAATTCCTGTCTAAGACGGTCACCTTAGTGACTCCATTACGTTTTGTCATAAATTGTGCATTGGCCCCTGGCGTTGTGGGCGAGCCGTCATAATTCAATCACCTGTCGTTGTTGTTAGGTAGTCCCTCCAACCGATCATGTTGTATAGGCCCCTCCCACTGTTGACCAATAGCTACCAATTTTCAGCTGCTGGTGAGGTAAGCGTGTGATCCCTCATAACCCATAAGCCCCGCCCAGAACTCATACACAAATCGTAAGTGAGATGAGCGGTCACTGTTTACCCAGTCTGTAACAAAGTAACAAAGGACGTCAACATGAACTTGTTGAAAGAAGCGTCGCTTGTTCTTCCGAGTGGTGGCGACTCCATGTGGTTAGCTTTTAACAATGGCACTCGGTCTTCCTTGTCTGA